GTGTTTGATTTTTAGGAGCTCCTAGTTACCTAGTTTCTCTTCTGGTATTTGTACATTGTTAGTGATGTTTTGTATTCTGTTTATGCCATGTGTGAGGGCTCCTAGCATTGTCCCTATTTTTTATTCCGTGACCTTTATCATTTTCAATTTTATATTTAGGTCTTCGATACATTTTGAGTTAGTTTTTGTGCATGGTGTGAAGTACGGATCTTGTTTCCGTTTTTTGCAGGTGGATATCCAGTTATGCTGGCACCATTTGTGAAAGAGATTGTCGTTTCCCCAATTAATGGACTTCGGGCCTTTGTCAAATATCAGCTGCTCATAGGTGGATGAATTTACGTCTGGTTTCTCAATTCTGTTCCATTGGTCTATGTATCTGTGGTTGTACCAGTACCAAGCTGTTCTGACTACCGTGGCGGTGTAATAAGTTCTAAAATCAGGTAGTATGAGGCCTCCCACGTTGTTCTTCTTCTTCAGTAATGCTTTACTTATCTGGGGCCTCTTTGCTTTCCACATGAAGTTGGTGATTTGTTTCTCCATCTCATTAAAAAATGCCATTGGAATTTGGATTGGGATTGCATTGTATCTGTAGATCACTTTGGGTAGAGTAGACATTTTCACAATGTTATGTCTACCTGTCCATGAGCAAGGTATGTTTTTCCGCTTATGTAGGTCTCTTTTGCTTTCTTGCAGTGGTGTCTTGTAGTTTTCATTGTATAGGTCTTTTACATCTCCAGTTAGATGTATTCCTAAATATTTTATCTTCTTGGGGGCTGTTGTAAATGGTATTGATTTGGTGATTTCCTCTTCGAAGTTCTCTTTGTTGGTGTAGAGGAATCCAACTGATTTTTGTATGTTTAACTTGTATCCTGATACTTTGCTGAAGTCTTCGATTAGTTGCAGTAATTTTCTTGTGGATTCTTTGGGGTTTTCTGTGTATAAGATCACATCATCTGCAAATAGAGATACTTTTACTTCTTCCCTACCAATTTGGATGTCCTTTATTTCTTTTTCTAGCCTAATTGCTCTGGCTAGGACCTCCAGCACAGTGTTGAGTAAGAGTAATGATAAAGGGCATCCTTGTCTGGTTCCCGTTCTCAAGGGAGATGCTTTCAAAGTCTCTCCATTTAGGATGATGTTAGCTATTGGCTTTGTATAAATGCCCCTAATTATGTTGAGGAATTTCCTTTCTCTGTCTATTTTGTTGAGAGTTTTTATCATGAATGGATGTTAGACTTTGTCAAATGCCTTTTCTGCATCGATTGATAAGATCATATGGTTCTTGTCCTTCGTTTTAATAATGTGATGGAGTACATTTATTATTTTTCTAATGTTGAACCATCCCTGCATACCTGATATAAATCCCACTTGATCATGGTGAATTATTTTTTTGATACGTTGCTGAATTCTACTGGCTAGAATTTTGTTGAGGATTTTTGCATCAATGTTTATGAGGGATATTGGTCTGTAATTTTCATTTTTCATTTTGTCTTTACTTGGTTTGGGTATCAGGGTTATGCGGATGTCATAGAATGAGTTTGGGAGTTTTCCATCCTTTTCTATGCTCTGAAATACCTTTAGTAGAAGTGGCGTTAAGTCTTCTCTGAAAGTTTGGTAGAATTCTCCAGTGATACCATCCAGGCCGTCACCAGATTTTAAAGGGGTCTGTGATCTTCTCAAAAAGGTTAAGAACTACTGCTGTAGATTCTGTGGCATATACAGTCTTTGTTTTTTTTTAAGTCCCTGTTCTTAAGGAGCTTACAATCTTGTTGATTTTTATTCTGCCTCTGAAATACCGCTTGGAAGGCAGTGCTGCATGGTAGTTAGGAGTGTAGTCTCAGAAATTAAACTTGCGTTTGAGTCCCGCTTTATTCCTTTCTAGCTTATGACTGATAAGTCACAATGCCTTACCTCTTAGAGTGTTATTAGGCTTAAATTAGAAAATACCTGTAAAATACTCAGGAAATGCTCATTTGTTAGTTGTGCTGGATGAAGATAATGATAAAAACAATAGCTATCTATGTAGCCTGAAATGATTACTAAATTTCTTTTATATATTTTATTTATTAATTGCACATGCTGCTGCTTGTCCTTTCTACTTCACTGAGTTATTTAATATCAAAAGAAATATTTGGAAACTAACCAGTAGTATATATATTCAGGTGCTATATAAATTCAAGATGGGATATAAAAACAACTGGCGAATATTATTTGAAAGCAGTGAACTCATTTGTTGTCTGTGTATGATTGTAAGTGAGTTTAATTTTATTTACATGTTATTCCTGTAGCACATGGGAATGCTAGAGATAGTCTAAAATACAAAATTATGAAGGAGCATCATTTTATAGGGCAGGAATATATTTTAAGTGACTACTTGTTGAATATTTGGTGAAGTAATTTTGAATTCCGTGTGATTCAATGTTTTTATGTTTCTCAGTGTTTATATATTTCACAGGTTGTGTGACTTAAAGAACCTTATTGAATTTCTCTCTCTTTTTAGGATTCTAATTCTCAGAAGGATTTAAGTACTCCATCCACAGATGATGATTTCAATGAAATAATTCAGATAGACGGAGCCGGAGATGTATCTTCCAGTGAAGAAATAGGAAGTTCAAGAGATGTAGATGGGAATGACTTTCTAGGGATGGTTGATGCAGAACAGCTGAAGTTACTTGAAGAAGAAGGTGACAGTATATCAAATGATTCTACTGTGAACAGCAATGATAATGAAGACTCTCAAACAGAAATTGTAGAAGAGGTGAGGATCGCTTTTGAGCTGTGACTTTCTTCAGTAAATTTATAATGTCTGTATTTGAGTATACTTTGATGTCAGATGGGATAACAGTGAAGATTAACCCGGCTTTAGTCTTTTAAAATGAGTTTTATTTTTATGTTGGGATTTAAACTTTTAGTCTTAAACTGTAATTTAAACCACTGGTATGTATTTAGGGATCAGCTTCTGTGTTTAGTGGTCTTAACTAGAGACAGTGGGATGTTTAGGGGGTGGAAGCAGAGCTTAAAGAAGACAACCAGGGTAGGTACAGTATCTGCTCTAATCCTGATAAATGTGGTAAAATCTGGGTGAAATGCGATAATTAAGCCTGTGAGTAGTATTAGTTGTCATTTATAATGACCTTTTACACGTGTCGGATAGCGAGCTGAGTCTTACCTGCCGTGTCTTATCTAATATTGCCAGTGTGCTATGCGTGTTCTTACTGTCCTCATTTTACAGAGGAGAAAACTGAGATATGGAGAGTTTTAACAGCTTGCCTGAGGTCAGTCATGCAGCTGTTCAGTCTCAAAGCTGAGTTTGACTCTAAAACTTACACTTTTAAGTATACTATTGTGCCTCTCCAAGTTCTTTTATTTCTCTATATCTCTCCTTAAAAAATCCAAGACACCATGAAATTCCTTCATGTGATCATCTTTCACCTTTAGGACCCTTTAAATTCCGGAGATGATGATAGTGAGCAGGACGTGCCAGACCTGTTTGACACGGATAATGTAATTGTCTGTCAGTATGACAAGGTACTGTATTCACCTCTTGCACTTTGGGTTTATTAATTGCATTTGTAGTAGAAAGGTATGCAAAATGATGGGAAATACGATGGTAAGTTCTAGTTCACAGTTACATTAATCTTGAAGCAACTGTTTAATTCTGTGAGTTTTAGGGTGTATTTTGGGCCTAGCACTGTGTGGTCTCAGTGATACCAGAAGAGCAACAGCCCTTAATTTAAGGAAGCGAAAAGCTTATTGAAACAAGATGTTTCTGTAGGGAATAATAGAATGGTATGCAGTAAGATGGCAGGGAAATCAAGTGCTAAAAGGTGAGTGGCACATAAATCAGGTGCTAAGATACGTGGCACTGTCCTAAAAGTGGCTGGGAGATGCAAGAAATCATTTATAGTTGGAGTTCTCCACAAATCCTTCATGGATGATGTGGGGCTTTGAAATGGGCCTTGAGTGATTTGTATCATATAGTTAAGTGGGGAGAGTAGGCATTCAGAGTAGGATAGATTGCTAAAAGACAGAAATGAGTGGGTGTAGTAGGTTTGAGGGACAGTGAAGAGATAGCTCCGCCTTGAATGCTTTCTTTTTGGGTGCACTGTGAAGCTGGGCAAGGAGCCCTGGTGGCTGCTAACTGAAAGGTCGTGGTTCAAACCCACCAGCCAGTCTGTGGGAGAAAGATGTGGCAGTCTGCTTCCTTAAAGTTTACAGCCTTGGAAACCCTAGGGGGCAGGTAGAACTGAGTCAGATGGCAAGGGGTTTTGGATGAAGCTGGGGAGGGGGCTGGGCAGGGAGCAGATTGGAACATACTGAGTGCTGGTAGGAGAAATCTAAACTTGATCTGATGGTCATTAGCCTTCTGAGCAGGTTATTGTACAGATTGTAATTGGGTTTAAAAACTTGAGTGTTAGGTGATTTGGAATGGGCAGATACTGAGAAAAACAGGGGTAGGTGCAAACATAAAGTAACAGAAGTCCAGACTAAGGATAGTAATGAGAACATGGAACATGGGAGAGTCAGAAATCATGACAGAAGAATTAGTGGGACTTCATGTTAGTTGGACGTTAGAAAATGCTGGACAAGAGAAAATTGAAGGTATATCTCTGGGGTATCATCTAGAGATTAAGTTAGTAGCAATTTAACTTCAACCCACTGCCATCACGGCAACTCTGACTCAGTAGAGACCCCGTAGGGTTTCCAAGGCTGTAAATCTCTATAGAAGCAGACTGCCACATCTTTCTCCCGAAGAGCCGCTGGTGGTTTCCAACCACCAACCTTTCAGTTAGCAGTTGATCGCTTTAACTACTGTGCTGCAGGGCTCCTGGCAATTTAACTTTAGCAATTAACAAATATACTGCTTTTTTTTCTTTTTTAAAATATTACAGCTGTGAGAGGATAGATTGGCCAGTTTTTGTCTTTAAGTCATACATATTTACATCTTTGATATATTTTTTCCCTAGTCATAATTTGAATATACTTAGGGGGAAACAAAGAATAATGCTTTGAATTGCTATAAAATGAATCCTTTTCTCTAAAAATAAGATTACTTTCTCTCCTATGACATTTTATACAGCTGGAGAAGGCTGCTTAGATGCTGGTAAACATGACCGTAAGAAAGCATAGTGAGAGTTCCTAGTTTGAAAGTTACGTCGGTGTCTTACTGACAGTACATTACCTTCTGTGAAGAAACCATGATAAGGCACTACATTATATATGCATTTAATAAAGTCTCAAAGAATTTTCTAGACAATTATGGATATGGTATCCTTTATTGTGTTGCATTGTAGGAGAGAGCTTGCATTAGTTCTTTGTAGTTTTCACAGTTTTCCTGTACATTGTCTTTGGCCTCTTACAACAACCTTGTGGGTAGTAGAAGGAGTGATATTAGATTTACAATGATTAAAAATCTAGTTGTCTGAGAGTATTCTTTAATTAGTGAATGTTTTAAAAAAACAATTCTAAAAAATTAATGGAAACCATGGTAATGGGGAACCATTGAACAACTTTGAAAAGGGAATGATGAAGTCAGAAGATGGATAACAGAGAGAATGTATCCAAAAGGTCACAGGGGAACACTGTTACAGTAAATTTTTATAAAAGAAAAACTTCCCAGCTCTGGTTATTGGTTGACTTGTTTCAAGTAGTATTAAATGTAACCAAACGCAAAGCAGTTGAAAATATTTTCAATCTCTTTTTAGAGCTTTACTAGTCAGTGGGTTTTGAAGGCCAGTAGCATAAATTTCCCTTCAAGTTTGTTACAAATGCAGACTTTTCAGTCCCGTCCTAGAGTATCGGATCAGAATGTGCATTTTAACAAGATCCTCCAGTGATCTGTATGTACTTTAAAGTTTGAGAAGCACTTTTTGTCTTTTTTGAGTATATTTTTTTTGGCTTTGATTAGCATATAGAATTTACCTTTAAAATTTATAGGTTAATTAGGGGAAAAATTTGAAAATATTAAGATGTGCAATGAAAAAGGACTAAATGATGGCCACTTGTCTGCATGCTGGATGAGAATCAGTTAAAGGGTATGGACATGTTATTAGAGGCCTAGAGAATGTCTAAGATTAATATGAAGATTTACAGTAACAAGGATCTGATAGGGAAGATTAATGGTAAAATGAAACCTTTTACTATAGATCATTCTATGCTACGGAGTCCCTGGGTGATGCAAACTGTTAATACCACTTGGCTGCTAACCAAAAGGTTCCAGTCCACTCAGAGGCACCTCAGAAAAAAAGCCTGGTGGTTGTTTTAGAAAAATCAGCCATTAAAATCCTGTAGAGCACAGTTCTACTCTAACTCACATGGGATCACCATGAATCGTTATCAACTCATTAGCAACTGGTTTTATTCTGTGCTGTAAATAGAACACTATAGTGGAAAGTGAAAATATTTTAATATGCTACAGCTTCATTTAACAGGGTTTTATTCTTGTATTTCTTTGATTTCTGTTTTTATACTTAAGTCTTGACCCATTTGGTGTTTATCTTGGTGTATAATGTGACATATGATTCTACCTTTTATTTTTTTCCCCAGGGACTTCCCAATTGTCTTAACATCACTTATTGAAAAGTTTATTTTGTCCCACTGATTGAGATGATTCCTTTATCATACACTAAATTTCTGTATGCATTTGGGTCTCCTTCTTGACTTTCTGTTTTGTTGATTTGGTTTGTGTGTTCATGGACCTGTACTACATTGATTTAATTATTGAGGTTTTGATATCTGGTAAGATCAGTTCTTCTTCACTAATGTTCTTTTTCAGAGTTTTCCTAGATATTTTAATTTTTTTTATATTAACCTCAGAATCAGTTTGTCTTGTTCAGAACAAAACCCTGTTGGTGTTTTCTTTGAGATCACATTAAATTTATAGAATTTGATATTTTAATGATGATGGAGAGGAATAGGTTGCAGGGCTACCTTGTACAGGAGTTCTTAGTACAAACGTGATAGGGTAGACATCAGAAGGAGGTACAGGAATGAAAAGGAGAGAAAACATTTCAAACAGAGGGAATAGCCAGTATAAAGGCCCTGAGGTAGAAGAATGCCTGTGTATTCAAGAAACAGTGGAGGCCAGAGCAGCAAGTGAGGGATCTTTGTGGTCCATGGTAAGGAGTTTAGTTTTTGGATGGGAATCATTGGAAAGCTTTGAGGAGAAAAGTGACGTCTCTGTTTTTAACAGAATTACTTTGGCTGCTGTGTTTATACTAGACTGTAGGGGGATGAGGGAGAAATCAGGGAAACTAGTTATGAAGCTATTGTATTAATCCAGCCAAGAGTGGATCTTGGTTTAGACAACGGTAATAGTAGTGGAGGTGGTAGAAATGGTTGGAATATGATTATGATTTGTAGATAGAGCTAACATTTACTGATGGGTTGAGATATGGGTGTGAGTAGGAGACACAGTTTCTCTAAGAGTTTTGGCCTGAGTACCAGCAAGAATGAATGGTTATTTACTGAGATGGGAAAGATAGTGAAGCTTCGGCAAGGTGATGTCAGTGTCCTAGTTTTAAACTTGTTTGAGATGTCCATTCATCATCTAGGAAGATATGCTGAAGTAGTTGAATGAGAATCTGGAGTTTAGGGGAGAGGTCTGAGCTGGAATATAAATTTTTGAAGTCATCAGCATATGTGTGGTATGTTTAAAGTTATGGAATTAGATGAAATCACCAAGGGAGTCAGTATAAACAGAAGAAAGAGTCGTGGTATACTCTAAAATTGGGAGGTAAGAGAGATTAAAAGGAACAGTAAAGGAAATGAAGGAGTGGCCAGAGAGTTAGCAAAGTGAGGATTGGATAAATATGTTTGCCAGGTAGCGTTAAGGGGCCATTTAAAATTGATGATCATGAATTTATAGTGATGCTAGTCAGCATGGCTGTATATGTGTTTCTCCATCTATTATCAGCTGCATGGATATGAGCACAGAATAAGTAGAAAAGTTAGATTTAACTAACTTATTTAGCTGAACAAATAGAACAACCTAAAGAGAGGCAGGGGAGTGATGACAATGACTGATACAGAATTTAAGCTGGGCAAGGAGGAAAGTTAAGCCATGGGGGGGTGGGAGGAGCAGTGGAAAAGATGATAAGGCCAAAGGATTCAGGTCCTGGTAGGGATAAAGGAATATTACAGAGCTGGGTTTTAGAAGGAGTGAGCTGGAAAAATAGGAAGTTGTGGTTGGAAAGTGCTATGGTTGAAATTGAGATTATGAAGAGGTTTAGTGGTTGGTAACATTGATATAGTTTCAATAGTTATACAGTTATATTGATAACTCATAAGTGGCTGAGGTAGGGTTGAGGAAAAAAATTAGTGGAAAAGTTAGGGAACTAAGAGGCCAGGGTATTTGGAAGGAATGTCTTTGAGCATGTCTTAGTCTGGGTTCTTTACAGAAGCAAAACCAGTGAAGTGTATGAATACACATATATAAAGAGATTTATATCAAGGAAACGGCTCACATGATTATAGAGGCTGTAATGTCCCAAGTCCGTGGATCAGGATAGAGGCTTCTCTTGATTCACATAGCTGCAGGGGCTGGCGAACCCAAGATCGACAGGTTGGAGAGCAGGGCTCCTGCTCACAGGCTGTGAACGTCAGTGAATCCAAGATCGGCAGATTAGCTGATAGCTCAAGTCCCAAGAACCGGAGGTCAGGTGAACAGGAGGCAGCCACAGGATCCAGAGAGAGCAAAAAGCCAGAATGTCTGCTTATATTTGGATGCAGGCCACACCCCGAAGGAAATTCCCTATCAACTGATGGGCTGCTCACAGCATATTCAGTCATGGGAGTGATTACGTATAAACACTGAGAATCATGGCCCAGCCAAGTTGACATACAGTCTTAACCATCACATAGCATAATGAAATCATCAGGATTTAACAGGGTGCTGCTATTGGAGACAGTGACTGAACCAGGAACAAAAATCCTCAAGGACTGGGGGAACAGAGTCTTTCAACAATGAGGGGTAGTAGACGATACAGTCTGAAGACATGGAAACAAAGCTGGGTATTTTAAAGGAGGAAGAAAAGGGAATGGTTTGAAATAGTAATGAAGAGCAAAGAACATACCAGTTCCAGTGGACCAAGGAGTGAGAAAGCATCATCTTTTATAAGTTTATTCTTAGCTATTTTATCTCTTTTGTTGCTGTCTTCTGTTGCTTGTATATATGAAGGCTGTTGATCACTGTATATTAATTTTATATCAATTTTGAATTCTTATTTATTATCATGGATTATCTTGAATTTTTCAGACATATAATCATAGTGTCTACAAATTTGTTTCATCCTTTCTGATTCTTCTACTTCTTTTCTCTTGCATAATTGCATTGGCTAGTACCTCTATTGACTAGAGCCTCTAGAGTGTTAAGAAGTTGTGTGATAGTCCTGACTTTAGTGGGAATGCTTTTATGGTTTTCCCAGCTAAGCATTTTGCTGGATTTGGGGCTGATGTAGGTGTGTGTGCGTGTGTGTGTGTGTTTGTGTGTGTAGCCTTTGATTCTTACTTTGAGTTTATAAAAAAATCTAAAATGCATGAGTTTTATCAAATGCTTTTTTAACATCATTGTGTATGATTATATGATTTGACTCTTTAGGTCTAATAATATGGTTTTTATATTAATAAATTCCTAATGTTGAACCATTGTTGTATTTCTAGAATAAATGTAGTCATTTGATAAAGCTGTCAGCATGAGTTGTTGTCTGATTTCTCCTAATTCTGGTCAGATTTTATCACTTGTGCTGAGTGCAGGATGCTGTTGTCATTTGCATTTCAGGAACTTTTCAGGACCTCTGATAGTGAAAATTTGTGAGTCAAACTCAGAGTAAATATTTTCCATTATTAGGACTTTTTTTAAAAAAAAACGCAGAGATTTATCCTTTGTTTTTTCTTACGCTTCACAAAATGAATCTGAATAACAGTCATAGGCTTGTCTTCTTGCATTTGACTACTTACAGTCAACAACTAGGTTTAATTTTTTTCGTTGCCTTGATTTTTAGATCATATATTTCTAAGGCTTTTAAATAGTCACTTGTGGTTTACCCGGAGGTAGCAGTGATTTCATGTTTTCTTACCTCTCGAAGGTGGGTAGGATTTCTTATGTTTTATTTTGTATGTCTAGGCCGATTTATGGAATCCAAAGAGCAGCCAGTAGAATCTAACAGATTATAAGCTCTATTTTCTGACCTTGCTCAGTGCTTTACTGTGACTTTGTTCTTCATAATGAAATGCTGCTTTTTTCATCCTGATGATATTAACTACATTCTCCCAGTTTATCCCTTTGCAGACCTACTGAACTCCTTGCTGTTCTTGAATAATCCAGGCATGCTCCTCCTCAGGGCCTCTGCACTTCTGTATCATTTCCCTGGAATGCTCTTGAGTCAATATCTGCCTTCTTTATCCCTCACGTACTTTAAGTCTTTGCTCAAATGTTGCCTCAGAAGTCAGGCCCACCCCGACCATCCTATTTAAAATAACAGCTCCACCTCTCTGTTTATGATCCTCCTTGTCCTGCTCTACTTTTAAAAATAGCACTCAACCATCTTTTAATATTGTACATAATTTACTTATTATTTTCTCTCCTTCCTTCTTACTAAAATGTAAACTCTTCAAAGGCTTCCCTTTTGTCTGTTTTATATTTGTGTGTGTGTAAATGTATATATTTAAACCAAAACAGAAACACAGAACTCAAATATATGTTGAGTGAATGAATAAACTATCTTGAGGTGATCTGACTTGTAAAGAACTCACACTTAGGGTCAGAAAATCCCATGTGATATAGCAAAGAAATGTAGATGATCCTTTCACTTACAAAATTAATTAATTTAGACTATTTTTCTCCCTCTACTCTAGATTCATCGAAACAAGAACAAATGGAAATTCTATTTGAAAGACGGTGTTATGTGTTTTGGAGGGAAAGACTTTGTATTTGCAAAAGCTATTGGTGATGCTGAGTGGTAAATCTTATGAGCTCAGTACATTAACTTTGTAAATCGGTGGGACTACATTGCATGTTGTGAAACTTAACTTTTATTTTAAATACAGTCCAGTACAGAACTGCTCAAATTTTTTGTTCACTGTATGGAATTGAATAAATTATAATTCAGATGCAGATACAAATGTGCATTTTCATATTTCATTTGTTTACTGTTTTAACTGTCATTACTTCTGCATTACAAAGCATAGGTGCATTGGGTGTAATGGAGCATGAAGAGACGTCACATTTCTTTATTCTTCAAGTCAAAATTTAAATCAGACTCCAGATCCCCTTCATGGTAAAGTCAGTATCTGTTATTAGATTGGGGCCAGTTCCCCACCACCCCACCTCTTCCCAAACCATATTACAAGAGGTCTTGAGGTGTCTTATAAGTCGCGGGATGTTCTAGAAGGCTTCTCTAGGTCTTTAGTCTGCACTGGTCACTGGTGATGCTGATTGTATAAGCCCAGATGTTCCCTTGGAGGCAGATGGCTCTGCTGTTCCTGCACTGTATTTGAACATGGAAATCTTTGCTGAGGCTAGGATTCCTTGAGCTAAGGATCAGCCTCTCCATACTTATTTTATGGCCAGGCCACCTCTTCAAATCCTGTGATCTCCTTGGAGAATTGTGAGAGAGTGGGTTAGGTTCCTGTTCTGATTCTTGAAACTTCAAAATTCTGTCTTCTTCCAAGCCGTGGTGGGTTTTCCCTCTCTTCCTACCTTTTCCCCTTTTTTCCCAGTTTTTCTTGCAGGGGAAGACCCCTTTGCAAACTCTTCCCCTTAAAAGCGCTATCTCTCTTCCTTTTCCCTAACATAATTCCCTCATTTAGTTTAGGCCTTCTAAAACAAAAGTCAAGAAGAGATGTTCTCTTTGGGAACCTTCTGCTCTGGCCTGGCAGTCTCACTGGAGATGAGGAAACCTGGATACTGCCTTGAGATCAGGAGAGAAAACAAAACAACATACACAGAGCTCTTTTTCCTGCAGCAATAAAAGCAAAGCAAATTAATATCCTAATAAGCTATTCTGTAATACAGCACTCTTAGCAGATCTTTGGATCCCTCAAAGAAACATTTTTCCATCACTCTGCTTCTCTCAGGAGTTGGAGTTCACATGGTCTTTTGAGTCTAGGAGCCCTAGTTTCAGCCCTGAATGGTGTTCTCCATGGCAGTAACTCTCACACCAAAGTAGTGCTGGCACGAGTGGGTTATGGGGTATGAACACTCCCTAAGGATTAGTTAGGTAGGTCTGGCTGGGCACAGAGCAAATGTCCCATTTATTTTTGAGAAGCAGTACTACTTGGAGAGTTTATTTTATTCCAACATTTGTTCCATTCTACTCAAGGGACTCAGTTGCTGGTACATCTTTTCAGAGGCTAGATAACACTCTTCTGGGCCTTGGGCAGCATGGATTAGGGGTTGTCTTTGGCCACAGCTGCATGAGGATTAAGTTAGTACTAACTAGTAAGTGGACTGGTCCCCTGACCAGGTTCTCCAGCTATGCCCTCTTCAGTCTCAGAGTGATTATTCTTTTCCATACCACCACTTCGATACCAGATCCTTCTCTGGCTCTTGAGAAGTGCCAGGAGCTATTGATTCTCTTTAAGGGTGTCAGCTACCATAAAATGTCCAGCTTCTTTACATGGATGGCAAAAAGAGGGTGCTGCTTATTCTTTGTATCTTTCCCTGAATCATATCTTCTCCAGGGCTGAGGAGACTATTTCTAGTCTTCTTACTCTCTCTTCCTCCCAGTCCTGTCCAGTCATTCTGTATTTGCCCTTGGTAAACAGTATTGTCAATTAAGAGCTGAATTTATATTGATGTGGGTGCACTCATCTGGGGTTACTGTGTTGGTTCAGGTGCCTGGGAGAGGCAATAATGTTTCTAAAATTCCTTTGTTCTCTTCCTCTGTGAATTTTTAATCTGCTTATTTTGTTCCAGTGATTTTTTTTTAATGGCAAATTACGAATACTATGTCTATATTGTTGGCCCTCTTTAGGTGGTACGTTTTATCATTAGAGAAAAAAGTCATGGTGGTCCCATTTGTTTGTCTGCATACCTTCATGCCTCTGACCTTTTAAAAAGGCAAAATAATCAATTTTATTAAAGTAGACTTATCAAAAACAAAATAAAGCCCAATAATAATTGTTCTTGCAGGCTAATATAACTGATGGTAATTTTGGTGGCGACTACAGAGAGAACTAAGATATTCCCAAATTATTTTGGACCTGTTGCTCTTTTGTTAGTCTCAAATAACACTAGAAAAAAAAAATCCTAGTGCTTAAGAAGTTGCCTAGATGAGTAGTTTTCAAAATTTTTCCACCAGGATCCATATTAAGAAATACACTTAACAAGCCAGTATATATCTACATGAACATACGTGCACACACACACACACACACACACACACACACAACTGAAACAAAAGTTTCTGAAAATTATGCTTGCCTTTAGCACATGATGTCCTCTTACATTTTCTGTTTGATTCTGTTCTATTTCATTAAAAAAAAAAAAAAAATGGCCTTGGCACACTTAATTGATGTCATTACCTACTAATGGATCATGACCCACAGTTAAAAACAGTTATCTTATGTGCTAAAGATAGAATGGGACAAATCTTGGTTTATTTTGAAAGAGAAAATTGTTCTTTAAGCCCTATAAATCGGGAACTTTACCTGAGATTTGGTTTTGATATCATGTTGCTTTTACTCTCAGGAGCCTCCTCTTCATGTCCAAGCTAAAAATTTCCGGTTGCATTTATACCAAAATACCATCAAGTAGGTTTCTAAGTTCTTATAAAAACAATACCTTGGAAAGTGTTATTCTTTACCCTTTTATAGGGGGAGAAAGCATCTCTCATAGAGAGTACAGTTTGCCCGATGTTAAATAAAATTTGGGAAAAGTGTCAAGTATCCTGATTTCTTATGCCAAAGCACTTTGAGAAATTCTCAAACTTTTTTCACCCTCACATCCTTCAGTGCTTTCTTACTTACTTTTCAGCTTCTCCTGCAAGCCAGAATGGTCTTGGTGAGCTTTATGCAGGGTTAGCCTCTGAGGGACTGACCAGTTGACCTTGCCTGGAATACTCCCTTACCTATTGTCTTAGTTCTAGTGCTGCTTAGTAGAAATACTAAAGGTGGGTACCTGAAAGAGCAGAAATGTATTTTCTCCCAGTTTAGGAGGCTAGAAGTCCAAATTCAGGGCACTGACTACTGGGGAAGGTTCTCTGTTTGTTGGCTCTGAGGGAATATAGTTGTCAGTTTCAGCTTCTGTAGCCCTGGTTCTTTGGTGATCTTCGTGTGGCATCTGTATTTCCCCATTTGTGCTTGCTTGTCTCTGTCTATAATGCTCCTTATAACTCAAAGAAGTGTTTAGGTTTAGGACACACGCCACACTATCAAGCCTCATAAACAAAACAAAACTCTGTTCCCAAGTGGATCATATCCATAGGTATAAATCAAAACCAAACGCACTGCCGTCGAGTTGATTCTGACTCATAGCGACCCTATAAGACAGAGCAGAACTGCCCCATAGGGTTTCCAAGGCTGTAATCTTTACAGAAGCAGTCTGCCACATCTTTCTGCCATGGATTCCATTACATATTTTTGGGGGACACAGTTCAATCCATAACACTGATTTTATTCCGTGTGAAGAACACCTAGGTCAGTGATATAATATGTGTAAATAATAATCGGTACTCCGTAGGGCAGTGAGACTTCAGGTCTAGCAGAGGCACTAATTTTTAGTAGTTGTGTATGAAAACTAATAACTTTATAGAGTGAATAGCCACAATTAATTGGTGTGTTGAGCAGGGGAATTTAGTGGAGTATTTTATTTTGACTCATGTTAGTAGGTTAATATCATGCTGTTTTTCATGTGAACACACTCTAAGCCAGGTGGGAACTTGGTGATTTACAACTAAAAATCTAAATTACGAGTAGGAAGCCCATGGTGATAACTCTTAAGAAAAAAGAAAGTATATTAATTAAAATATTACATATTTTGAAGAAAATATTATTTCTAATTATGAAAACATGTTGAAATCTTTGCAACATAGAGATTCTAAATTTACACGTGGACTTAGTACATTTTTCGGAAACTAAAACCAGGCTCTTTACAGCAAACACTGTGAATGAAGGATAAAATATCCATGCCTTCAAAAACTATTTCATAAGTTTATATGAGTTATTCCAGATTGATTAGCCCTTTTAGCCATTTTGCAACCTACCAGTAATAATATCAAACATGGTAAAAAAAATACAAGATATAAATTTCTTGAGTATTTGATGTTTTTATGATTTATGTACAAGAGATTATACAGAATAAGAATACAAACTCTCTCTATGGGACCATCTCATAAGGGAAATTCTTCTTAATAAGGACCATTTTATATTTCAGTTACAAAAGTTTATCAGCTAAAAAAAAAAAAATTACTGAACACCTACCATGTGTAATCAGGGGCAGATTAACCAGTAAGGAAGGTACACACAGGCTTACTTGTGTTTATTTACTAATCTGTAGTGCACCATTTCACATGGGTTTCACCACATCTTTGATGTGATGAAAAACAGGTGAAATGGTGCACTACAAGTTAGTAAGTAAACACAAGTAAGCCTGTGCCTATCTTGTGTATTAGGTAACTCGTCCCTAGGATAGATATACTGGGATAAACAAGTAGAAGAGACAAGTGTATCACTAAAGGCATTTATAATATAGCTAGGTGAAAGAAGAGGTATACAGATACAGATGATAATGCCCAGCTATGTAGGCTAAAAGACAAATGAATGATACAGCTGACAAGTGCCAGAGAAGTCCAAACAGAGACCATCATGGATTATATATTTACTATTTATGCCCCACTTTATTTTCCAAAAGGATTGGAGGTGTCTTGACAATAGTGGGTTAAGGAGGTGGTGGATTAAGGAGGGCTTGATAAAGATCAACCTGTAGTAGGGCCCTAAAGGATGCAGGAGGAGGACAGTCAGGAAGGTGTTCCAGGTGGTAAGAATGGCATGGGCACCAGTGTGGAGCAGCAGAGGGCACGGCTGGGGAAGTGAGTGGAGCAGTTTGTTTCATAGAAAAACTGCAGAAGACAAAGTGAGCAGACTCAAAGCACGGTCTCTGGAGCTCTCTGAATGGTAGGCT